AAAGGCTGGCTATTTATAGACTTGTTCGTGGCCATTCGAACAGTCATCACCTTTCAGACAAACCTCAAAAATTCGAACAGACATACTGTTCTTAAAAGTCGTGTCTGTTAAGTCGGTTAACAGTCGGCTAACAGTCGACTGTTTGGTCTGTAAACAGTCGACTGTTTGGTCGGTAAACAGTCGAAACAGTCGACTGTTACAAGAAAATAAAACACCCGGAATAAGCCAAAATTTAAATAAATTTTGTACCCAAGAATTTGATTATTTACAATTTGGCCCAAAATTTTAAATAAATTTTGTCCAAAAAGTTAATATAGGTCGTGCCCGTGCCCGAGTCGGCCGGTCGGACGGACGGCGGCGGCGGCGCGCGTGTGGGTTTATGACCGAACCCAATGGGATATAGGTCTTCCCCCTTCCAAAGACTATTGGTACCCCTTGGGGCCCAAACCCAATTCCAAACTTCCACCTTATAAACCACACCAAAGTTTCCTAACTTTCCTATGTGGGATAAGTGTTTGGCAAATCAAATTCTTCCATAATCCTTAGTTTATGTGGGTTACTTTAACGCTTAATATTTCATTCAATTTTAAATGGTTTTCGATAAATAAATATATCACGTTAATCATCTCGCGGAGTAGAACGTGAATATGCTAGGTCCCGTATTATTTAAAAGGTGGGTCCCACTGAAATTTGGGCTCAAAGTTGACCCATTAAACCATTTTTTCCAACATTTTACACTACAAAATTGATATTATTATTTTTTAGAGTTGATTAAATCATAGAAAGAGATTTGTGTGAACATGATCCAACGTAAATTAAATCATAGAAAGAAATTTGTGTGAACATGATCCTACATAATTTGTGAGTAGTCAAACTAGTAAAATCACTTGAATATTATATATATTCTTTATCAATTACCCTAACACTCAATATTCTCAGCCATCAAGGAAGGATGTTGCTTCACGTAAATAATTTTATGTTAGACAAGATGCTTGAGCATTTGACAAAAGTATTCAACATACACTAAATACATAATATTCCCATAAAAAAAACATAATTGAAATTTGAAAAATTTAATGTTGAGGATCCTTGAATCAAGTAGTCGAGTAGCAACACCCAAAATAGAATATTAGATAGGTAGGCAAAGGTGTTGGCCTAGTAGTAACTTGTACCCAATACATCTTCAAATATTATTGATTACACTTCTTATTATAAATTATATGAGTGGTTTGCTAGTCAATCATTCATTGGACTTTATTTGCGGTTTAACTTTTGAAAATTCTCCACATTTAGCCTTTTTGACTAACAAGTTGGGGCATGTCGCATACAATGGACTAAATATAATTGAACAATAAAATAGTTATGTAGTAAAATTTATGTTAACAATCTAGGAAAGTTTCCATATTTATTTCCAAGAATATCCTCATTTGAGAAATACGAAGGAATAAATAATCGTAACAATAAATATAATACGAAGATTAATACAGAAATCAAATTTTAGAATCGATAAAATACGTCATGATTTGTAAAAACGGAATTTTTTTTCACTATATAAAAAATCAATAAATCGCATAATTTCTCTAAACTCAAACCTCCAACTACGCTCAAGAGTTCTCATATCAAAGTTTATATCAGTACAATAACTAATTCAAGAAATATAAATTAATATATTATTTTCCTTTCCTCTCTGTTTCTCCCACATTTTCGGAGTTTGTATTGTTTTGTAAACTTTATCAATTGTTTGTTCGTGTCATGTCCACTCCAACATATCACATATAAACAAGTTATGAGTTCCGAAATTTTTCATATTTTTGAATAACATGACTAAATTTTTCATTAAATATCAACCAATCTCAATGAATTAAGACCATATATTAAATATTCTTTGTGAGATGATTTGGAATCCAATTCCATTAAAAAGTAATCAAGAAAAGGGAGACATTAAATGTGTAAGAAGGTTAAAGCCTTGATTCTAGACTAATTTATTTTCTTTTTTCAATCATGCTACTTTGGTGGAATTTTTTGGCACAATCAACGGCTCTGATGCTCTCCCAGCATAATTAACTTGAATTCCTATATTATTTGATAGTTTTTCATTCAAATCAATATAAATAAATTTTATTCTGAAAATAAAAAATAAAGTTTGTCATTACGTATAAGCGATCTCTAAACCCAAATAAAATTAGCACAAGTAAAAGGACGAATTTATTTCTTTCTATCTCTGATAGAACCCGATACATAAAAATTGTGATATGTACATTTTACGTGTCATGTTTTTGACGCATAGGTAAAGAGGGAGCATCTTCAAATGTATATTATCCCATTTTGTGGAGATTTTCTTATATACACTACTTTAAACTAGTTTTAATCCATTATGGCTTAAGTTTGGTCACAAGAGTTCATCATGAAATGTTAAGTTTTCGTCAAAGAAGTAACTCCGATTGTCTAATAAGATTATAACTCGTACAATTTGATCAAATTTCAAATCCGACATGTTCAATATCATGTCCATGGTTCTCTCAAGTTGTTATAGACAAGAGACGACTAATGAAATCTACTTTTAAAGACATGTAAAAGTTATAGATAGTCGACGTACTCATCGTCATTGTCGACCGATTACTCAAATGGTTAAAGCTAATAAAGAACTGCGTAAGTTATTGATTACCCTTTTTTTCACATGGTGTCCATAATAACAAAGCCTATCTGCATTAAGAAATACACACAAAAATACAGTGATACAGACAAGGGGAAAATATATTTTTCAATATGGACGGTGCTTTGGACGTCTAAAAGCTAACGTGCACCGCACATTACTGCACCGTTAATACAAAATTAATTTCCTTAAAGTTTTGTCCAAAGCAAGAATTACCACTATAATTTCTTAAATGACTTTGGCATTAAAATGTGGAATTTTAAGGTACCTTGGAGTTACTAATAATTAAATTATTTCGTTGAAACCGATTTTGTAAATCTGAGGTAACAAGCTCATTTAAATTTTTCTAAAGTGGGAAGAGATTGATTAGGGTCAACAAAAGATTCGTTAACCTTTCAAATCTAATTGAAATCGTGGTTTTGAAATCGTTGATTTGAATCAATATGGATTCCTCAACGTTTCGATTTTAGATTGAATCAAACTGGTTGGGCATGGTTCGTTTAGATTTTAATGGTTAAAAACTATTGAAATCAAGTTGAACCGTTCTTCAAATTTTAAAAGGGATAATTGTAGTGGAGATTCCATACTTTTAAAAACTGAACAAGTTACACCCAAACATTTACAGCGTAGTAGTGGATGCCCCAAACCTCTCAAAATTGTGCGGCGGAAGGATCGTTGGACGATTTTTAGTCCTAAAATCTATTACTTAACCAAAAGTTAGTATTGGATCGTAATCGACCAATTTTAAAAAGGAGAAATTTTTTCTTTAACCTATAATTTATTAAAAAAGGGACATTTTCGTCAGAGGTCCCCAACTCTAAAAATTGTGCAGTGGTTGTTCCAAATCTTTTAAATATGCTTCGAATTTTGAAGTTCGACAAGTTCCCAATCTTTAAACTTTTAATGGTCAATGAGATAACAATTTGATAAGTTCCCTAATCATTCGATTTTTTTTTTAATATTTAATGATCAATAATAAATATTGTGCAAAGTTCGCTAACTATTTGGATTTTTAACATGAATTTAGGCATTGGGGGTTGGGTGGATAGGTCAATTGAGGAATATGAATATCTCTGGTCAATTAACTGATTTTTGGATAGAAACGTTTAGAGGTCCTTTCAGTGTGCATTTAGTACACGTTTGGAACCTTTGTTGCACATTTTAAAAATATTTAGGACCTCCAATATAAATTTTATTTGTTAATTAATTAGAAATTAAAAGTCCATTTCATCCTTGAAATTTGGTTACATTGTAGAAAAATGTTGACTTTGAGTCAATTAAAAGATTTTTGGATCGAAACCGCCCAGAGGTCCTTCTATCGCACAATTCTGAAAGGTCTGGGATCTTCTTTACTACGATTTAAAGATTTGGGGGGGGTATAATTTACACAATTTAAAAGGTTTGATACCTCCAATGCAATTATCCTTTAAAAAATACAAATCGTCTCCTAGATATTCGATTTATAGGTCTATTCAATTTATATTTTGAAAAACTTGCAATTCTGCTTTTGATTGTTGACGCATGGACCCTTAGTCCAATCAAATTCTATGTTAGTATTTTCCTTACGTGCAGCAATAGAATTGTGTTTCTTTCAAATCAATAATTAATATTCACTCAAATCAGAATAAATTATATATTTCACAGAGTTATTTTATAGACGTACATCTAAAGCCAACAAAAAAAAAAAAAAAAAGGGAATTATTTTTATTTTTATTTTTTTGTACAGTAAAGTTTAAAAATTGTTAAATAGTTAGGGTCAAAATTAATTATTAATTTTAATTACATGTTATCTTCTATCCACAATTACTACTATTTTTTTTTAATAACTTATTTTGCAGGATACACAATCTCTTTTTATCAAAATTGGCTTTTCAGTTATACCAAACAATCACGATGTGGATTAAAATTAATTTTTTAGTAAATTTTGATAAACGCTAATGAAATATATGGTTAAAAAATTGTGAATTCTATGTTATAGGTGGTTTAAAAAATATTGACTTTGACTTAGATCAAAATCTGAATTTTAATTTATACCAAACATTGGCTAATGTAAATAAGGAATGAAAATGTGAAGAAAATCCGAATCTTTCTCTACATGAACGTATGTATATTAAGGGTTCTAATCAAATAATTCTGCTTAATTTTGATAGTTTTATGGGTAGTAGAACCCAACTTAGATCCCACTGTTCTTGTCTATTAGCCGGTTATCATTCCAAAAAACCATTTAACCCTCTCTCCATTGCAACAGCACTGAAAGATTCTAACTGAAGTTGATTTTTGTAGTGATCGTGTACTTGAACTTCTGAATTCAAAACTTTATTTTCAAATGTCCTCAAAATTTTCTCTCCATATTCGTATCTTCATTTTTGTAGTGATGACAACAGGTATATTCAAATCTTGAATTTTCCATTTTTCTTGTTGCATTTGTAGAATCTAAACCGTATTAAGATTAAAATACTAAGGTGTTTAATCATTTGATTTTGTGTTTATATTCTCATTTATCATTAATGGCGTCTTGAATTTCTATTTTCCAGGTAGTTTAGGGGCAACATTTACCTTGATAAATCGGTGTGATTACGTAGTATGGCCTGGAATACTAGCCAATGCGGGCTGCTCCAGATTGGATAGCACTGGATTTGAACTTCCGCAGGGCGGCACGCGGTCATTTCAAGCTCCGCCGGGCTGGTCGGGGAGGTTTTGGGGTAGAACCGGCTGTTTTTTCGACGGAATAACCGGGCAAGGAAGTTGCGCCACCGGCGATTGTGGGTCCAACCAGGTGGAGTGCAATGGTGCCGGAGCAAACCCACCAGCAACCCTAGCTGAATTCACAGTCGGGTCAGGTTCCAGTTCGGGTCTTCAGGACTTCTACGATGTTAGCCTTGTGGATGGCTACAATTTGCCAATGATTGTCGATGCAAGTGGCGGGTCGGGTTCCTGTGCTTCAACGGGTTGCGTGACCGACTTGAATCGCATGTGCCCGAATGAGCTGCGGGCAGAAGATGGAAAAGCATGCAAGAGCGCGTGTGAAGCGTTTGGGAATCCGGAATATTGTTGCAGCGGCGCGTATGGTACTCCCGCCGCCTGTAGGCCTTCTGTTTATTCCGAGATTTTTAAAACCGCGTGCCCGAAATCGTATAGCTATGCTTACGATGATGCTACAAGTACATTTACATGTAGTGGAGCAGATTATACGATTACATTTTGCCCTTCAACAACAAGGTAAGGCTTGATTCTGATTTGATTTGTTTATGATTAGTGTATGATACTCCCGTTCTTATTTTTAATCTTTTAAGAATTTTCTAATTCATTTTTCTAAGCAAATTTAGAGACGAACATCCCACATCTAGTTTATCCTAAGCACCAATGATGTGTTATATTAATTCATTGGTGGATAAAGATTTTCAAAACCGCATGCTAAGCACCAATAATGTGTTATATTAATTCATTGGTAAATAAAGATTTTGTGAATTCCAAAATTTGAATTAAATTTGTTATCCACCAATGAATTAGTATAACACATCACCGGTGCTTTGTATAAGATGTGTACCAGTGCTCATTAGATAATTTCTCTCTCTCTATGTGTGTGTGTGAGATATATTTCTTGGCATTTGTATGATGAAAGAAGAATGAATTTGACATGCATACGTTGAAGATACAAATACAAGTGAAAAAGTTTCTTCCTTAAGAAATAGTTCATAAATAGAAATTTACATTTCTAGCGACAGCTACAAGAACAAGAATTTCCACACGATGCCTTTCATAGTTGTCATCCTTTTGAATATTTGTCTTTATGATTAATCAATAGAGAACAAAAGTATCAATAGGGGAAATTGTGAAGAATCTTTTTAGTGACTTGCTTTCTTTTGCATTGGGTGATCTCTTTTTGTGCCTTTTTCCTTCTCAGAACAAGTATCTAGTTTACTTTTTGTGCAAATTCATATTGTTTTACAAATTCACATTTCCTCCTTATCCGTTTTACCTTTTAGAAGAGGTAGTCTAGCATGGTACTTGGGTAGACGAAGGTTTCGTGTTCAAGTCCCATTACTATTTATTTATATGAATTTCTTCGCACAAGTCTTCGATGAGATAGATGAGTCCGGTCTACTTTTGACCGGAGCCGGCTTTTATTTTAGACGAGGTGGTCCTATCGAGTTCCTGTTTGAACTGTTGCATGCATTGCAGGATCAAATATGTTTAGACGTATAAATCTATGCGTAACTTGTCAAATGCATCAGATTATAACTTGTTATACTGCTCAAGTCTTTGAATTGAAAATTCTTCTCATGATTCAGTTAAGAAATTGCTTTTTCTACTCAAAATATAATATCAGTAAAATTCTCCATATATCAATTTCAAGAAGTTCTTCGCTGCAGACGTCATATAGTTTTAAATAGAAGCAGATTCCAAATAAAATGAACCTTCGCAATAAGTTCTCTCAATAGAATGTCTTCTGTATCTAGCCATTATACTTTCAATTTTACTTCCTTTTGGGAAAATGAATTGATCTTTTTTCTTGCAGTCAGAAATCTTCAAGGGATTCTTCATCACCAGCCACCCCAGGGACAACAGACGAGCCACCATTGACTACAGGAACAGTAGATGGTTCGGGTTCACAAGATAACCTGCCCGCATGGCTACCAAATTTTGTCATAGGTGGTTCATCGAAAACCATTTCGAATTCTGGCTTGCACTTTACTTCAGTTGCTTCTGCAGCAACCTTCTTGATGCTATATATTCTTCAACTATAGATTCAAACATCCTTTTCTTGAATTTAATTACAAGCAAGGACAAGCATATTCTGAAATACAGTTATCAAGTGCATGTAGATAAAAGCTGAAATTCTTGTTGTTCGGTTGAGTAAGGGAAATTTCATTAAGTTCATACTATCAAAGTGCAAATGTCGACAACAAGGGCAAAGGCAACACTCTTGGATCCAGATCATTTCATTTATGACCAGATGGTATTGTAAAACGCGATAAAAGTCGCATTTTAGTCAATGAAGTGTAGCTTTCTCTCCATTCTAGATTATTAGAATCCAATCAATGTTATTGTCAATAATAATGTTATTCATCACCAATTTAAGTGGCAGTTGCATGACATTAAATGATATATTGACTTAAATGTAATGTCACGTCATTCTTTTAGTTGAATCTATCGAAGTCGGCCATCTAAATTGGAGCTCTAGTCTCTAGTACTATTGGTGCTAGATAACATTATTATATTATTAGATGCATGGTGTTGATTTTATTATTATAATTTTGTGCTTAGCTTTCAAGATCTGTGAGAATCAAAAAAGGGTTATCTTGAAACTGATTTAATTTTTATATTCTTATTGAATTAGAAGAATTAAAAAAAAAAAAAAAAGAAAAAATTTCTTTATAAAGAAAAAAAAAAAAAAAGTAGAATTTGCTTCATAATGAATCAATGGTTGGTGATGCTTCCTTTATCTACTTTCGCTGAAATCATAAATTTGGTAGTTGTGTGATCCTGGCTGCAAATTTGATAGAGTCATATTATCTGCCTCAAGGGCCTACCATCTTTTAGATATTATTTTCAACATTATGGGTGGTTAGTTGTAGCCATATTCATGATGTGGTACCAACTTTGATACCAATGGAAGCAATCAAGTACACGATGTCCCGCCTAGAAAGAAAGTTGTGCATTTTCAGTAGATCACTTCGGAAGTGCACATTTTAATTGTAAAAATCTTCTAGAAGATTTAGTTCTCAATTTTTTCGATCGAACATGAAAGTTGGGTTTGAGATTTATAACAACGATTTTTAGAGTGAATTTTAAGAATGGTTGTGAAGGAACTTCTTCATTTGTTCATGATATTTACTATTTAGGGGTTCGATGGATATCATTGAAATTGACAGTATTTAACTGTACCAAAAGAGCTAAAGGGTATCAATTAATCATAATTCTTTATTGACAGTTGATTATTCCACTAGCAAGAACATTTGATTGTAGTCTCACGTCTTAAGCCAATTCAAATTCGATTAATAATTGAAATATGCTATTAGATTAGAGCACCGAAGTGCATATCAATCCTTTTGTGACCAATTTCTATACTATTTTAGTGCCAGTGACAATGAAATTAATAGATTTGTCTTAGGTACACATATTTAGCACTTTCTTATATTAAATTAATTCATTTAAAATTTAAATTAGTCAAGAACCAAAAAATAAAAAATAGAAAAATACAAACAAACTATTTACTTGAATTTGTATCTAGAAATAAAAAAGGTTGAACCCAACCTTAAGGGCCCCCACCGCCCCTACCCTGGAGCATCGTGAGGGAGGTAAATCGCAGGTTATGCCTTCAAGGGTACAGGGTGGAAGATTGCTTGTACACTTGCACTTACCCAAGAGCCAAATCCATATTTCAGGATTCAAACCCTTGACGCAGCAGCCTCAAGCAAAGTTGGATTTCTCCACCCTCCCCTTTTACCACTTGGAGATGTGCCCTAAGACGAATTTGTATCTAGAAATAGGCTCTAGAATACATGGCAAATTCAACTTTCTATTAAATGCCTATCGTGTGAGTTTCATGATTATGTGAAAATGAGACTATAATCGAAAATTTTTATTTACTTTCATTATAATATTGGATCACTTCATGTTCTAAATTTTATAGAATAATAATTTATTTTATTTGTATTATATATTAACAGGTGGATCCTTCAAAAATCAAAAGTGTATGGTCAATTTTTAGTCAAACTTATTCCAAGGTGAATTGTGTTGGGTTGCTTGTTTTAGTAAGCCATTGTTTCAACCTTGTCATTGGAAAATTCATTTTTCTTAAATTCATTTTCAATCATACAATCTTCTAATAAAATAATTTTGCACATAAATTTAAAATCTTTTTCTACTCTTTAATCACATTTATAAAAAATAAAAAAAGAAAAAGAAAAAAGAAAAAACTCTATTATTAAGTCTACTTTTCGAAAATTGGAGATCAAACAGAGCCAAAATATGATTGCTAGTTGTACTTTACTCGGCAATAATCAAAATTATAACTTTTTAATTGTCTTCAAAATTGTTCAATCCATTAACATTTCGATAACTATTATAATCTTTTTTAGTAAAATATAAATGCTAAGAAGGATTAATTTGTTTGGCAATGATAACTTTCAGAAATTTGTTTCTTTAATGAGTTCATCAATGTTCAATCCAGTAGTTCAGTTGATTAAACGTCTAGAAAGCAAACATAACCCTTTTCCCCCCTACATAATCCTGTTGGCAAGTGGTGTTTATTTTTTAATTATTATTTTTAATTGTTGAATGGCTGCAATTAAAAGTATGATATGTGCTGTTAGTGTATCCAAGAATAATTGGACTGAAGAATTAATGCACTTTTCAAAAATAAAATATGGCGTACCAAACGTTCCGTTTGGATATGTGCATCTCGCTCTAAGACTATTCAAGTAATTTGGGAGACATAAAATAAAATCTTCGAATGAGACTTTCCAGATTAATAATAAAACAAAAGTTTGAATGGAGTAAATAATCATCGACACAAATTACATCACTAACTGTTGAACATTCTTATGGAAATAAGTATGTAGATAACTCGAACACAAATGTCAATAGTAATTCAATTTGTTATTTTTGATGTGCCACATTAAAGATTACTAATAATCATCGATACAAATTATATCACTAACCGCTGAACATTCTTATGGAAATAAATATGTAGATAACTCGAACAGAAATGTCAATAATAATTCAATTTGTTATTATTGATGCGCCACATTAAATATTACTAACGTCAATGTCATTGTGGTAAGACTTCACTATATATGAATATGATGGAACGAAGCATGCTGTCGCCAGAAACAGAACCCCGCAAAAGTTTATAGTATACCACTTCTACAAATAGTTAGTAATCTTGTGTCTCTTCCGAGACCCAGACCTTTTATCATGACTTCTGCTCATTGTATACCTTGATCTACTACTGTATGAACAACATTTGCTGTTGCAGCATGAGCGGCAAAGGGTGTCCCTCTTCTCCTACCCTTGAATTTACAAGTACTTGCGCCTCAACGCATTTCGAGGAGAACCAGTTATCTTTGGGTTCGAGTGGCATCAATCATTTAATTTGAAAATAAAATGATGGAAAAGCCGACTATCGGAATCAAATTGATGACCATCGCATTCATCAATTGTCGATTACAAATCAAAATTCTATAATTCTAATTATTATAAAACAACATGATAGAAACATTTTAGCCTCTTAATCAATAATAATTGGCTACAATTGTAACATATGATACATTCTCTCCATAAAGATAAGAATATAGTGTTGACCTATGGTTGACTTCTCATTTTGATTATCACAAAGAAATTGAGTTTATTTCTAACAAATTGTATTCGAGTGTTGATAAGGAATATTGCAAACCAAATTTGAAGAAGGCAAATTTCGAAACAAAGCAACGATCGACATGAAAGTAAAATCAACGTTGTGAAAATTGCTATTGAAATGAAAGCATAAGTCTAGCATGCACGTCAAGACGAATGGCCTTATTGGAGATAATAATCTTAGACTTTATAATTTCATATATAAATGCAATATGCTTCAATATTTGGCAATGAATCTTAAAAGACTCAAGTGTTGATTTTATACCCAAGAGAAATTATTTCACCAAAATATTTACACAAGATATTTTTTAGGATAACGAAATCAATCTTACACTATAAAATGTCACTTACCTTGAAAAATCAAGTACAAACGTTCTTCAAAGTATTACCTTTGTCAAAATCATTGAAGAAAATCTTTTTTTATACAAAACTGCCGTAGCGAACATCCAGTAGAGTTGGCAGATGTCCGGTAGAACTAACGGTAAATTTTTTAGCCATTCTGAAGTACAACGGCTAGTGAACTGTCCGACACGATAGCAGACGTCCAATATGACTTGTCTGGTATGACGGATTTTCTGACAATTCTACAACTATAAATACCTCATCACCTTGCATTCATATATATATTTTTCTTAAGCAATTATGTGAGACATTTATTGATCTTTGCTGCCCTATTTCTCAATCTTTAAAAAGTCAAATTATTTGATTCTTAAAAGACTTTTTGAGTAATCAAAGCTTGCAAATATTTTCTATCTCAATCAATTTTTTTCAACCAACACTTGGGCTACACTCTTTGCTATTTATTGACGTGATGAGCTTACTTCTCTCTTGATACTTAATTGAGTTCATATCATTTATTAAGAGAGAATATTTCAATTGTAATATTTGATTTTTCCTTTTTTTTTTTTTGGATCGTATTGAGGTTCCAAAAAGCTCAACATTGTAAATGGATTGGTGCTTTTGGTTGTAAGTCACCGAAAGCGTTGTAAGGGTTGAATTGTATCATAAGTCAATCAACAATAGTGGAAAAGACACTGCACGTGATGGAGAGTTTGATAACGAGGGTTGGATTGCATCATAAGTGAATGAACATCTAGAAAGCATACATAACCCTTTTCCCCCCTACGGGAGTACTACATAATCCTGTTGGCAAGTGGTGTTTATTTATTTATTTTTAATTGTTGAATGGCTGCCATTAAAAGTATGATATGTGCTGTTAGTGTATCCAAGAATAATTGGACTGAAGAATTTATGCACTTTTCAAAAATAAAATATGGCTTGAAATAGACATTTTCTATCAAATGTTCCGTTTGGATATGCGCATCTCGCTCTAAGACTATTCAAGTAATTTGGGAGACTTTAAATAAAATCTTTGAATGAGACTTTCCAGATTAATAATTAAACAAAAGTTTGAATGGAGTAAATAATCATCGACACAAATTACATCACTAACCGTTGAACATTCTTATGGAAATAAATATGTAGAAAACTCGAACGCAAATGTCAATAGTAATTCAATTTGTTATTTTTGATGCGCCACATTAAAGATTACTAATAATCATCAACACAAATTATATCACTAACCGTTGAACATTCTTATGGAAATAAATATGTAGATAACTCGAATAGAAATGTCAATAGTAATTCAAAATACCGTTAGTGTTTACCGACAATTGATGAATGCGATGGTCATCTGTTCCATTCCGATAGCCGGCTTTTCCTTCATTTTTTTTTTCAAATTTTTAATGATTGATCAATAACTATCGGCAGAGAAGTTATGGGTTTATTCTTTGTTTTTTTATTTTTATTTTTCTGTAAATTACCGACAAATATTTTAGTTGGTAACTTGATGTATTTATTATATTATAATATTACCAACATAAAAATTA